CATGAGTTTAATGTGAAATATAGGAAAAAAAGTATATTCGCTGGATTTTATTTTCACGGAATCATCCCTTCAGCGAAAATAGCGAAAATAAATTCCAAGCGAAAATAAAGTATTCTACAGTATTGTTGATGATTTAAACAGGGTGCCAATTTCAAATAACAGGGACGGCGCCCTGTAATATCCCTCATGCAGAACACTAAATCTAATCATGGAGGTTTATACCTCCATGATCTAATCCACCATTGTTGCCCAAACATTGTTTTAAATAACTGGGATACATATTACCCCAGCTTCCTCCATCTGTTTCTCTGCTTTGCTACTAAAAATAGGCTCCATTACTTTTGCTGTGCAATTTGCCTTTGAAAAACAGCCAATCATGTAAGACATGATGTCAGTACTAGTATCAAATGTCATCCTCTTGAATAAGCAATAAATTACATATTGGTATATTTTAAACTGACTGGGATTTCCAACACCACAGAATCATGTAGGCGTTTGCTGTTGTTGTATTTCTGTTCGCTCTTAATGTTACATTTTCAAAGTTGCAGTAAATCAATGTCAATTACTGTAGTAGTCAAGATTGTTGTGTCAGTAGATAGATAAAACACCTTGAAACCAGAGTATTTTCGTTGTTTGAGTAAAATTGGATGGTAACTTTATCAGCAATGAGATGTTTTCTGACCGGGAGGCGAATGGATTTAGTGTGCATTATTTTGTCGCATCAAAGAACGCTGATGAAATGATGCATTGTAATTTTGATACGATCACAACAAATTTACTCCCTTGTCAAAACAAACTACTAGAAAGATGATCAGTATACTGTAACATACTTTATTTTAGGTGGAATTAATTTTTGCTGAAAAATACTTTTTGGGTGTTTTGTATGTTGGTCATCTGACTCAACAAACATTCAAAACGAAAACAAACTTTCCACCTTGCCAATGTTAAACTTCAAGCAAAATATTAAACGAAAAATTAATGGATTCAATTTCATGCACACAGGATTTATGAGACACGATTGGCAATGGCGCCAATTGAGATTTTGTTTAGCGTTATTTTCGGTAACTTATGCAAATAAGGGCATTTGAATGACATAAATAAATAATTTATTCTTTAAAACGTGACCAATCAACGTGACCAATTTCAGAATGCAGACGAATACTTATAGTATAACAAATATACTGCAGTCCATTTTCAAAGTGGAGAATGACCGTTTGCAAAGCATTTTGCACTTGTGTGTATACATATATATTAGTGTTAAACACAGCTTTTATTTCATGCTGTTTTGCTTTCTGAACATACACATTACTGTACATGCACTATCTACATTATTTACACTATGCCAGCAAGGTAACCCAAATACATGTATCTGCAAAGTGAAGTTTATTCTATTACATATACAGTCAAACCGCCCATTGGACTTTATTAAAATAGTCTTTATAGACTATAAATATATAATAGTCTTTAAATAAAGGTTGGATTATTATTTTAATGCATCACCAACTGGTATATTTGACATAATTTTTTTCCAGAAAATAATGAGATGGCACTGTTGCTAAAAAACACATTTGTTGATCAAGATTAAATAAGCTTGACTAGAGGAAAAAATAGTTTTATAAACAGAATGATAATTACTATTTTAGTCTCCAAACAAAGGCAAATCTGCAAAAATATTGCTGAAAGGGTGGTCACAAACCTGTGGTCTTTATAAACAGGTTGCTCTTTCTTTCGAACTGCCCAAAAGTGGTCACTATAGGCAGTCTTTATATTGAGATGGTCACTAACACAAGTTTGCCTGTATGTTAATTTATTTGTTGTTTTTGTTGTTGTTGTTTCAGGGTATGCAAATGCTGGAAAAGTATTGCTGATAGAATAATGAAATCTCGACAGCAGTTTACATGGGCTGTATACGATGCTCAGTATCAAGATGATGATGACATCTTCACTTATGACAAAGAACTTGAACAATGCCTATCGGTAAAAACAAGTCTATTGTATTGCCTGTTGCTACAAATATTGATATTGATTGCAAATATTGATAAAATTTCAGTAATACCCAGTATATGGTTAACTTTAATGGTATGTTGCTGATTTATACTACATACCGGTATTGATAAATTTACACATATTAATTTAATTTATTGTTTTATTTTGACAGTCATGTAGTAGTATACCTAAGCTTGCTTTGCTGTTCATGGAACCAGATGCAAATGCTTTATTTCCTGAAAATGGTGCATATGCTGGTAACAGCATAGAAGCATATTTACACCAGATACTGCCATCAGATTGCCAACTGGTGGGATTCAGTACACCTGGAGTTGTCAGTAAGTACCATGGATAATCAAGTATGAACAGTACTGGGTACACAGTTTTATATTCTGAATTGTATGTGTAGTAACATCACAGTACAAATCACTATTAGTGTTGTGGTTGAATGATACGTCCTTAAAATTCTGCATGGGACTGAACACTGAAAATACAGTTTCAATCCACTGGGCAAGGTAGTTTCACTAATTTATGCAACTTTGTGGGAATGTTGATTAAGGTTTGCATGCTGTGATAACACCATCATTAACTTGCCATTATGATAGCAATATCATGATGGTCATATAGTCTCGTCACCTAGTGACGAAATATAGTTTCTATGACAAAATGTACTGTGTGTATGTACTGTTAGAACTAGCAGTTTGTACAAAAAAAATTTCAGACGAGATAACAGCAACATTCAATATCGGGAACAGACACAGTCAGAAACATAAATCCTCATACCCGCACCACGTTAAATCAATTGGACAGTAGATATTTTATCATCTTGATTGGGAGGTATTCCTTCTACCATGGTTCCTGCGTGGAGAATGAAAGTGTATATATGTGCTTTCTATCTACTTATTACTGAATTTTTTTTATTTCCTAAATTGAAATCTTCAAAATCTGTACATGGGGTATCTTCCACAGTGCTTCCAGAGACATAATCTTTACATGTGTATCTTTTCATCGCAGGTACCTCTCGGGATCTTAAATACATATCAGAATCAGAAGACCAGCAGACAAGCTGTGCCTGTGTACTATTCCCTAAAATGAATGGCGTCAATATCCACATCTTCAGAGTCCCAAAAAATGAGTTCATGCAAGGATCTCATCGTGATAACATTTGGAAAACTACCGGAATTCCTGAAAACGAAGATGTCAAATGTATCCTTATCATTGGATTCAATCGGTTTGCATTCCATGCCATGGGTCAGCTTGTCAATCATCTTGCTGATGTTTATAACAAAAAGAACCACGATATTGTGATCTCTGGTGCATATGCTAATGATCTTGTCACTCCAAGAACTTTAGAAAGGTTAGTGTAGTGTAATAACACTTTGATATATGTTGTATAAAAGATTATTGCTACAGACTGAAAGCGAGAGCATCGTCACGTGCGCATGCTCGGGAGTCCCAAGCGACGATAATAACACATGCTGAAAATGCAAAGGCTCATGGGTAGATGCTTGTTTGTAAACAATGACACGCTATGGCCATTACTTTTATCTAATCAAAAATTACTTTTATCTAATCAAACGGATATGCATGGACAAATTAGGTGAAAAATATGCCAATTTTTTAAATATAATAACAGCTTATTGCCTTTTAAAACGTGGAAGAGATTGACATTTTAGCTGAATGTTTGAGCTGCATGTATATTATGAGGTTATTACAAGGATACCTCAAAGTATGCACAGAGTCAGTACAGCGGAAGTATCGACCAACACGCAGTGGAGATCGATGCGACTGTGTACTGTCTGAGTACTTTGAGGTATCCTTGTAATAACCTTATTATTATACATCTTTTCCTTCCAAAGACATATTATGGGAATGCCGAAATCTAAAAGGTTTAGAACAGAATCAGCAAACTTCTTTGTGTGGAGTCCGGTCAAACCCTGATGGCAGCCATGCTTGTTTTTATTATTAGAGGATGCTTACATGCGTAATCATTCCATATTTGGAATTTGCATTTACTAATATGGTAGGATGAAAATACCTGTAAAATACCGCAAAATTACGGCACGCTGTAACTTATGGTGTTACAGGATGTATAATAATAATATTTATTTTCATTAGAGAGGAGAAGAAGACTGGGATACTTGGTTTGGTGTTTTCCGGACCCAACGTAAAAGCGGCATCTGTCGTGTTAAATTCCAGAGTTACACATCCAGACCACGCTAAACGAGAACTGTTGAAACTGAAGAGCGTTGGGTTATCTGAGAAGAAAACTATAGCATTCATGTTTGCTTGCATTGGACGAGGAACTGAACATTACAATCAACGCAACGTGGAAAGTGAAGCATTTAAAAGTATTTTCCCCAATACTCCACTCTTTGGTTTTTTTGGGAATGGTGAAGTTGGGTGTGAACAATTGAAGTGTGGCAAGCGCCCTGATGGCAGCCACCCATTACCCAATGCTATCTCTCCAGAACTTTTACATGCATACACCACTGTGTTCTGCATGATCTCATTTGATAACTGAAACTGGAACAGGCTCTTTGTATGATGTGTATGAACTCTGTCGCAAATTTATGTTTTTCTAGTCATAGCAGGTTACATTGGCTATAATTACAAAATTCCTACATGTGCTGTGTTTGTTAGCAGCTTGCCAGCTTTTATTTTTTTAGCAAATACTTATACAATGTATGTATGAATACATTTCATTGTTTCTTTTCAAATACCTTAAGAATATAACATTCCCAACTCTTAACTACTTGTGTTTTGGAATAATTTTAGTAAATTATGGATAAATTTTACAATTTCTGGAACAGTTTTACTGATTTAATGACCAATGTTTTTAGACCAATGATCTTATGAGGGGTGTCTAATAATCCTAAATACAAAACTCTTCAACAATGAAAACCTTATGAACCTGTATAGTGACTCGTATTTTTTTTGGTGGTTGACCAAGTTACAGGTGGTTTGATGGAGCTTGCATTGAAAATAATTTTGGGAATGCATAATGCCCTAGCATAAAGATGTTCAAATTGTAATTGTCCCAGCTCACAAAAACAAGCTCTGTCTAGCCCCCTCTATAGTTAATAATTAGTCTTTTACACTAATAAAACTTTGAGTACAAAACTGTTATTTACCAATGACTTTTGTGAAGTTCCAAAATTGTCGCACTTTATGTTTTTTATAGGCCCATGTGTAAAATACAAATTTGAATGTGTTTTGTGTGATGACTGGCACTCCAATGTCTTGCCGTTATTATTACTACTGTATTTGTATTGTATATATATATATATATATATATATATATATATCACTCGCATGTGTTTCACTATTGTAGTGATAGGTTCCCATATTTCTGATTTCTTGTAATTTATTCTTTATTCATTACTTGACACATATGTAAGTTTGAATAGAGTCTTTAACCAAGTCACTGAAACTCGTACAGCATTATTTTGTCTGCCAAATATTGAGAGATATTGCATGCAATAATTTTAGAAAAAAAATAATTTGACAATTTATTTCATTTTGACAATTTTATCTGTATATTTTTAATTTGTTGTATATATTTTGAGATTACTATACTGCCACATACATATGTTATTTGTGTGATCTGTTTTTTGATGTCCCTGGTTGTTGATAGTAATATTAGCCATTTAGCATGAGAAAACTGTCTACAGTTCTGCTATCTCACAATTGTTTTAGTAACATAATCAAGAGTCTTTTGTTTGTTATTACTTATCTAAGTTACTTAATACATATTGCACATCATGTATTACGTTATTGATTGTCAGGGAAGGTGAACAAAATCTTCAGTTTTACTACATGTACATGATGATAATTATATGATTATAATTTCCTGAGGATTGTATATTGTATGAGTTGATTTGCATAACTGTGAAATTGATCTAATCCTGAATATCTTAAAGTGAGGGAGTCGTCACCTACACATGTGTCAGATGGGCATAGCATGTCATTGTTTACAAACAAGCGTCTGCCAATGAGCCTTTGGGTTCAAATCAAATTATAAAGGTATACAAAAAATTGATGGCGTCCTGCAAAATGATTACAATACCCTTATTAATATTTTTATAATGTTTCCATTTTTGTATCACTAAAAAGTATTGTAACATGTACATGCTTTTATATATGTGGTTGTATATTAATTATTCTTTTGCTTACCATTGTTAAATACAGTAGAATCTTGTTTCATATACATTTTTTGGCAGGATTTTGATAAAAAATTGGGATTTAAATTTGAAGTGTCACTGTCATCACATTCCACCATGTTTGATCTGAACCAAATTTGAACATGAGTAACAAAGTAAAGAAATTGGCAGAAATCAAATCTGCTTACCGTACATTGTATTAGTCTCTGTTCTGGCAATTGACTCTCTGCATGTGTGTATCTTGAACAAGTCTGGGCTGATTACATTCTATTCACTCATACATCTGGGAATACATATGCACATCCATCCATTTCATGATCCAATTCAAGCCGTTTTTATGCTAATAATTCATCATAATCAAAGTATGTCTGCCATTCTGGGACTCCATCTCCGGTTTATATGAAAGGATTTCATTCAACCTTGGTACAAACATTGAACATTAAAGTAGTTTGCTACCATTACAGCATAAAAAAATGATCACAGTCATTCAAAAATTGTTGTGTGATGATTCACATACATGCATGTCATTCATATTTATTCATTTCCAAGAAAACATGATAATCTAAAAAGCAGACATTCCATGTGAACACATTATTAGTACCTGTTTGGACGCAGTCCTAAAACAGGGACTTATGGATCTTTGTGCGTCCATGTGCCTGGACCTATATCTTAGACATGCCTGGATCTATTACATCCAAACTTCACACATACATAATATTATACATATGTACCCCTGATTCATGATGGCCGAATGGCAGCCATTTTTCTTACTGAAAAATCATCAAAATCAAGCATTTCTCGGCTGTTTACAGATGGATTTTGTTCAAACTTGGTATATAAACTTGGAGTTATTGCGACGTCACGGCGTAAAATATCATTTTTACGCCGATGACACACAGATTTATTTATCGGTTTCTGAAGATGATCAAATTCGCGCCCGGGTGATACTTCAGACATGTATTCAAGATGTTAGCGATTGGATGTCTTGTAATTTCCTACTTTTGAATGTGTCGAAAACTGAATTTGTGTGCATGGCGTCTCGGAGATTCTCACAAGACTCGTGTCCTTTGTCTAGTATCGCAATTGGTGAAGAATTGGTTAGTGCTTCGTCAAGTGCTAGAAACTTAGGTGTCTTGTTTGATTCGCAGCTATCTATGGAAACACACATTTCTACTATTTGTAGATCTGGATATCCCATCTAAGAAATATTAATCGTATTCGTAAATCATTATCCCAATCTGATACTGAAAAGTGTACATGCTTTCATATCTTCTCGCTTAGACAGCTGTAATTCATTATTGTCTGGTCTCCCTGTAACTAAGATAAAACCTCTTATTAGTGTACAAAATGCAGCAGCCCGCCTTGTCACTCGTGCTCGAAAATATGACCACATTACAGACATTTTTATTAAACTTCATTGGTTACCAGTTGTACAAAGAATCAATTTCAAATTACTTTTACTAGTGTATAAATCTTTGTATGGTTTTGCCCCAAATTATCTATGTGAATTAATCGAATTTTATGTACCGAGTCGTAGTTTAAGATCTGAATCGAAGTTTCTTATTAAAACTCGTCAGATGTGTAGTAAAAAGTCCAAGGTGTTATACAAAGACCGTGCTTTTGAAAATTTAGGTCCTAAACTTTTTAATGAATTACCTCTGTCTGTTCGTTCTAGTCCTTCAGTAGACATTTTTAATTCCAGACTGAAAACGCACTTATTTAAATGTGCTTTTAATATTTGACTGATTGTTTATTGTATCAGCGCCTTTGATCTTCATATGTTGGAATTGTTGCGCTTAATTAAATAGAGTTATTATTATTATTATTATTATTATATACATTAGACATTATTGGACCTTGATGCAAATCATTTTGTTTTTCAGATAAGATTTAAAATGGCCGGCTGGATGCCATTTTGTTTTAATAAATGTGGTTCTAGTGCCATATCTCTGACTTGCTTTGGCTGATTATGTTCAAATTTTAAATATTCATTATACATCATGTCATAGATGTACAGATATATTGGTTTGACGATCTTATTCAAAATGGCCGAATGGTGACCATTTTTGTGCTAAAAAAATCACCAAATACCAAGCATTTCTGGATGGATTTCGTTCAGACTTAGTACATACATTAGACATTACGGGTTCCAGATGCAAGTCATTTTATTTTCCACATCGGATTCAAAATGGCTGACTGGTGGCCATATTGTTTTAATAAATGGGCTTCTAGAGCCATATCTCTGACATGCTGTGACTGATTATGTTCAAATTTTATACATTCATTATACCGGTACATCATGTTATAGATATATACATGTTTTCAAAATGTCTGATTTTGTTTTAATTAATGCTGTTCCAGAGCAGTATCTCAATATGGAAAAGTACTCGTTTGACAAATGTCAATCATTTTATGTTAAACAATCATCATAATCATATTCCTGACATGGTTATATTCCAGCTATATCACTATAAACAAAAGTATATATCTTAAATTCGATAACTAACGGGGACTGCATCATGCATGGGTTGTTCCATGGATAAATTATACTAATATTCAAAATCCTCCCATTTTTCATGACGGTCACATGTAGCGCTCATAACACTACGTATTATATTTAAGCATTGAATACAATTTTGGGAAGCTATGGAATTTTCTGCCTTATTTGGAACCAATTGTTCAACCATTCAAAAAATACATTTTTGATAAATTTTTAAATTATCTGTCACCTAATTTCTATTGAAAACCTGCTCTTCGAGCATGAGGTTGTGTATCTAAAAATTGCAACCATTTGTAAAATATCAGTAGCTTTACATGATTGAAATGAAACAACCTAGGAGTTGTGGTTGTATTATAAACTTGTAAATCACATTAGACGTAACACAGTTTGGGCTTGTCGTGCTTTGTCAGGTGACTGCTATAAAAATAAACAACTGTAAAATGAATTATAATTTCTCAGAAATGATCAAACTACGGAATGACGAGAAGCCAAAGTATATATATAATATGCGTTACATTTGACAGAAAACAGACCCATCATATTCTTGTCCCTAACATTAAAGCAAAACGAAAGTTTATTGCTGCTACACACAATGTTTTTAATGTATTAGAATGTTATAGAATTATGCCTTAGATGGGCAAGGAGTATTTATAAGCGAGTACAAAATCTAAGTTACTATCTTACGATATTGGAATAAAAGCGGATAAAATAGGCGTAAAAGTTAAGCATCTGAAAACTGTATATTCTCCGTTCTCAATACATGTATATAGATATTGTGGTAAAATATTGATCTCCCAACAAACACGTACCATGGAATTATTTAAATATATCAAGGCATTGATTTTTGTAAAGGTGGAAATT